AAAAAATTTAGGAGTGTTCCAAAGTTGTAGTTATTGAAACACTAATTGCTTGGAGTCATAGGTAACAAACTCACCAGCTAACACACTGAAAATTTGTCTTCTGTCTCAAGAGGTACCGAACAGGATCTTTTCAACATAATGGGATCAGTGTATATTTTCATGATAATCATTGGGATATCAGGTTGTTCGTCTGTGATGCCATTCGTAGGGACTCAGAGGACTGTTTTTTACCGAGAAAGGTTTGCTGGAATGTACTCCTCATGGGCATATTCATTGTCTCAGGTTTGGAAAGATCTCTGAAGCAGTTCCTATCATTCCATAAGGTCTACATTAGATCTTAAAGCTTGCATGCCCTGACGTAAACCTTTTTTTATATGCAGGTGATTATTGAAATTCCATACATCTTCCTTGAAGCAGTTTTGTTTTCGATGATTACATATCCAGCAGTAAACTTCTATAAGTCAGCCTACAAAGTGTTTTGGTACCTCTACGCCATGTTTTGTACGTTGCTATACTTCAAATACTTAGGCATGATGCTTGTTTCATTGACTCCAACTTCCCAAGTGGCAGCAATATTCGCAAGTTTCTCCTACACGCTGATGAGTTTGTTCTCAGGGTACCTCATACCAGAACCAGTAAGCTAACCCTGCCTTTCCTTTGCTCAACAAAAATACTAAATCATATTCACTATCTGATCATTGTACGATGAAATTTATCAAGTAGGCATACACATTGCAGAATAATGACAAAGGTGCACATCATTTATCTTGAAAATTTCACTAATCTTTTCCATCCTTGTGTGTAATGTTTCAACAACCTGCAGTAGATTAAAAAAAAAAAAAAATTGGAACAAAGTCTAATTCAGCAAACTCAATCCTGGTACCTTTTACTTGCAGCAAATACCTAAATGGTGGGTTTGGGCTTATTGGATTTGCCCGTCTTCATGGTCCGTGGAAGGGATTGTTACTTCACAATATGCAGATGTGAACAAGGTAATCACGGCATTTGGAGAGCAGAAAACAATCAGTGCCTTCCTGGAAAGCCAGCAAGGGTATAAACGTCAAGATTTACCCATCATAGCAATTGTACTTCTTGCTTTCCCACTTTTCTTTGCATCCATTTTTGCATACTGTATATCTAAACTGAACTTCCAAAGGAGGTAAAGGAATGCTTAATATGACTCTCATCTCCCATTGGAGCCCTTCAACAAAGCATTAGTGTGGATGGAATTTTTTATTTTACAACCAAAACATGTAGAAGCGTCCTAACTGCCTGCCAAATAAATACCAAACAATAGTTGCCTAAACCCTCAAGGCTCAACTACTTTCAAAAAGAAAAATAATGGCATTCTAGAGAATAAAGACGGGCATAAAATTTTGAAGTACAAGTAAAAAAGAATAGAAAAGGAACTGATAAAAACTATGATAGAGACTCAGGAGAGAAAATGTCAGCCCCAAATTCTTGCTCCAGGAAATGGTGGGCCTGCAGTTTCTTTGGCTTCTTCAATGTTTTTCACCAACGAAAAAGTTCAATAACAGGCCATTTAGCCAATGTTAACTAAAAACTGCAGTTTTCTTGAAGAGAAAGAGCGAGTAAAAACTAAAAAGACTCACCGGCGATAGGGAGAAGATGCCGCCGTGAACTCTCGCTCTGCCAATCGGTTTTTCCGATGAATAAACACTGCCGCATCGTGTCAACAAGAAGTTGGGAGAAATGGAACTAATAATTTAAAAACCTTTACTTAATTCTCTAAATATTTAAAAGAACAAAAAAATAACAATTATTTTAAGACAAACAGGGTTATTCACTGTAATAACTAAAGTGAGTCAACTTAGTTGAAAGTAGTTTCTCTATTGATACATCATACATTAGAATTTCAGAACAGGGAACATTATGACTACATATGAAACAACCCGGAAAGATATACCTATGCACTTAATGGATAACAATGAATATGAAATAAATATGTCGTTGATATTACTGTATCTGGAAACTCAGTTCTTCAGGCTGGTTATACATGATATCTCAACTTTACAGTCTATGAAAACGCAAACAAATACAAACAACTATTACATGTCATCCGGTGGAGGATTAATGGACTTCAGATTGTTCCGTAGTCCAACATTTCCCACCTGAAGGGACGGAACACATAGATAACTTCAGGATAGCTCTTAAATAGCAAAGCCACACAGACACAGACTGCAGCTATGGCCACCATTGAAACCATCGCTGGCCTGTAAGCTAATGCCCTGCTTCCCGTTCCATAAGTCAGCTTCTGAGTGCAAAGCTTGCATCCAGGATGTCCAATCTGGAAGCTGGAGGTTGACTCACTATATTGTCTCTGGCTTTTATTGGAATTTTGGATGGTACTGGGAATGTCAACCACAACATGCCCAGCAGCTGGTCTCTTGCTGATTTTCTTCTGTACCAGGTGCATGTATGAGTAGTGGCCACGTAAACGTGCATAATCTTCAGGCGTGGAGCCAGTGCTATCACGAGCACTCTTCCATGCTTGAATGCCCACCTAAATTACCAGAACAAGTTCAAAAAATTGCTTCTCAAACAATTGCATCAAGCAAATAGTACCATAAACATTTTACTGGTTGTTGATGAAATAAACAGATCACAGGAATTACTTCAAGATTATCAGCTACATCCCCCCACAATAACAGCCAAATAATAGGAATAACAGCCAGTGTGGCTCAAAACCTTAAAACAGCCTAATAATAGGGGAATAGACTAGAGGTTCAAATTAGAGATTGAACATGGCCATGCAGTAAAAGAATTGTGAGGGATCAAGAATCATGCTAGAAGCCCAGAAAATGTGGAGATAATGTGAGTAAGCTCCCTTCCTAGTTTATTATAAAATAATAATAATAAATTGCGGATTACCTTTCCGGGATCATCAGTTAATGCATCCAGCACATCCTCAGAACCATCTTTACCGGCTGCAATGTGCAGAGGTGTCAAACCTGCTGGACCTGAGACATCAGGTCTAAACAAGAAGTTGCCATGCCCATCATCAGCTAGTACCTTGTGTTCATATCCTAATTTGTCGGACACACTGCCAGGGGTAAATCTTAAAAGCAGCTCCACTAGAGGTCTAGAATTTTTCCTTACAGCTTTGTGTAGGATACCCATCTCTGTCAAAGCAATGGTAGGGGAAGGATGCTCTCCAGAACCTACAGTTCCCTCAAATAGAATATTTAAGAGTTTTTTCACAACAGCACACCACTCATGGTCCATAGAGAACTCCATAAGCCACTTGAACCGACTTAAAGGAAACAGTTCTGTGTTGGGATCCAAGTGAGCCAATCTAGACTTCAGTTGACTTCTATGAAGAAGCCAACCAATTTCATGAATGAAGTCCATGGCTTGATTCTTGGCTTCCAAATTTCCAGTTCCACCAACATCTACATCAGTTTCAGTAAACTCCAACACATTCTCAAGTGTGCGGATCTCTGAACAAACATCTTCCTCGGCAACAATGAAAGGGAAGAAACTGCTGCTGAATCCATGATCCTCAACCTGAAAAGAATCAAGGTGAACTTAGAGACAGGCACCATTCGTTATATCATCCATCTTTTATGAAGAACATCACTACCCAGTTAGAATGTGCATGTAAGGGGAAAATGAAAAAGAAATTAAGGCAATACCAAAATATATTATTTATAACTTCCCTATAATATCAAAACTATGATCCTGTATGCTGTATCAAAGGAAACCAAGAATGGAGAATAGAGGGGAAACAGGAGAGGTGATGAGAGGTAAAGAAAGACTACCTCAATAAATCCCCTCCCAGACCCTCTTGGGATAGAGCAAGACAAGTTGACACATTGCAGCTCATCATGCTCCTTGTTATTATCACTATCACCTGTCAACACATGAGAAGCTTCCTGAACCAGGTACTTCCCTTCTACTGCACAGAGCAACCTAGAAAAGGAAGCTCAAAAACATAAAATCTCTATAGCAGCATATAAAATCCAGGGAGACAATCAGATAGCTAAATCCAATTTCACATTTAGCAGTAAGGTCAAATCAAGGAATCAGGGACTAATAATAATAGAGCAAACATCCACAAAACAAAAGGGTAATGATACTTTGTGGCAGGCCGACACAGATTGATGCCTTCAACTGAAAATTGAGCTCTTTGACTTGCAGATATTGCAATTGGTTTGACCATTGTAATTTTACTGTAATTGCTACTTCGCAGAGGTAAGGATGTGTCTAAAACAACCAGACCTGTAGCATAAAATCAAAATGTCAGAATCCTTAATCCTGCATGAGTAAGTGCTCCTGTTCCTTAATTACTTTGTCATGCTAGTTTCATAAATACCAGGAAATATAAACGGAAAAATAAACAGACCATTATAAATGAATGCTATTTGATGTTGCACCCTAATATAAACCCATCCAGTCCTCCAGAAAGCATCATCTGTAGAATCCACAAGTCGACTCAAACTGAAACTCAGATCACAGCAGAGCTGATAGATAGATGATTGAGAGTTACAAAGATGATGCAGTAAACTGTAAAAGTATAACAATAAATTAGCACTTGGATTCAATGCACGGTTTTGAGCAGGCAAAGCTTACTTCCTCCCATGCAGCCTCAGCCTGACGAAGGTAAACTGTCAGAACAACACATCCAGGCCTGATGTAGCTCTCAATGTCAGTTGGACTATGAGATAACCAGTCAAGAATCTAGAAGTTCAAACATTTATATCATTATACTTCCTGAAGAAGAGGACCTTGAAAAATGGAAACAAATAATTGAAGTACCTGATCTCGCAATACAAGAGGAAAATCATTGGGCTCTTTCCCAAATAGTTTAAATACAATTCTGTCTGTACGGCTCTGCAATGATTGGGGTAAAAAAAATGTTAAAATGTTGAACATGGAAACCTGGAGCAGAATCAATGCATCATGTATTGAGTTATGATTGAAAGACAGAATAGAGGAGATAAACCATATGCCTTTGGCATGTCCAACAGACTAAATGTGTGAAGCATTGAAAGTAACTAGACAAGATAAATTTGCCATGCATGACCTCCACAATGAGGGAGATTTCTACTTTATTATATACCACAGCACATCAATGTTCAGAGAATTTGGAGAAATAAGCTTCACCAAGAATCTATAGACCCAGGCCATCCACCAAGAATCCTCAGTCTCAAACTCAGAATGGTATCCATATAAGATAAAGTAGCAAAATGGTATATCATGAAAAGGAATACCTGAGCATCACCACTAGAACTAGAAGGTGATTGGGCAGAAGCGGAATCTGAATTTCTACTTGTCTGAGGTGGACTCGACTGATGAGAGTCTTGTGCCCATGAAGGGTAATCATTGGAGCTACTTGCCAGATTTATAGGAACAGGTGATCTCTCAATATCATCTGTGCCATCATCAGAGTCAACATATGTGTCATTAAGATCAAAGTTATTCATCTTGATTTGTCCACCAGCATTTCTTTCGACTTCGATATCCCTAGTACCATGGGAATGTCCAGCTTGCTGAGGCACTTCTGATTCAGGTATAGCAAGATGTTGTTTAAAGGGCTGTGGAGAGCCTTGACCATTTGAAAATAAAGCTGAAATCGCTTGAGAATTTACAACAGAAGAACCATCTTTTGGCAAAGCCTGAGGTTCTTGCAAAAGCCCAGATATATTTCTTCCCACATGTTCACCATTATGGTTTGCAAGGCTCTTTAAAAGGTGAGTTAGGAGATCTTTATCTGTGGCCGGATCAGATCTATTGGCTGCAATTCCAGAAAGGCAGAATAACTTACACCGTGTAATATGAGAACCAAAACAAACTCCATGCAGAAATTGGATGCGTAGGATAAAGAAACAATAAAAGAACTAGTTCATACTTATGCTGTAATTTTACCCAAAAATAAAAGCAGTTGTCTAGAGGCACATGATAATTAAAAATAATGTGTTAAAATTTATCATCATAATGATTGTATAATTAAATTACTCCCATCCCCACATACTTCTGAGCAAAACAAGTAATCAATAGATTTAAGCCAAAAAACTAGAGAATTTTTTATTTAATTCACCCCCCCCCCCTGCTCAAAAAAATGCTCCTACAATGTATTGGGCATGCATCATTGGCTGCACTGGACAGCAGGGCAAGAACTGTCTGTTTAGTACCATGAACAGACCACTGAAAGAGACTGGTTTAAAAAGAAGCAAACTTAGAAAAGACTCATATCTAGAACGTCAACTTCTTACCACTTTATGAACAAAATACTACACTTGGTTCCTAACAAATTCAATGGAAAAAATGTAAAGAACAAAAACAACCAGAAAATTAGCAACATTTTACAATAGAGAATGAAAGGTAATGAGCAACAGATAAACCTACCAATTCTCACAGCAAAACAACAACCTTAATTTACAACTAAGGAGAGAAGTCATCAAGTTACTTACAGTGCATGTTAGAAAGTATCCTCAACAGGCTTATCAATAGATAACCACTAGTCTGATCATCCTTTACTGAACTTCCATCAGCAACTGTATCTGGATTTGTTTTCCTTCTCCTTCTATTATGACCAGCCAAACGCCTGCGACAGCTTCTCTTCCCATCATCAAACTCTTGAAGAATGTGAAACCTGTCAATAACACAACAAACCATCCATCATCATTGACAATAAAGAGTTTACAGACATTCATACGCTACAAGACTTTTCCTTTCACAAAGTTATTGTATTAGAAAAGGCTTAAAAGACAAGAGGCCAGGAGAAAATATCTGCAAAGTGCTGCAAGCCTTGTAAGAGAAAATTAAAGTGCTGAAGTGATGTCAGGCACTTCCACCATTACAGCTTAATTGAATTCCATGATATTACCAAGAAATTCAATTTTAGCTCAACACACTAAATAGTATAACAGGATGTAATTAATAATTACCTGCTACATTGCTGACAGAAACGCTGCATGACATTTCCAACAAGTGCCTTACTAGCCTTGGAATGCATCTCACAAACTTTATGCCGTCTATGATAATCCTTAGCATTGCTTAGATCAGCCCCACAGTCCTCCACCTGACAAACTGCACGACTTGTAGTACCGCCTCCCAACTTAGTCTTTTTCCCGCTTGCTCCTTCCCAATTCCCCATCTCTCTTTCATTCATTGGACAACTGTGACCACCAAGCTTCAAAGTAAGGCTACCTGCTTCATCTTTCAGACTGTCATCTTCAACTACAATAACCCTCCTCCTCTTCTCCAATTCACGTTTCCCTACCTCACTTCTGAGATTCACTTCATCAGAGCATGATGACGAACTATTAGATGAATTTCCAACTACAGGAATCCCTGCTACCGGTGGGAAAAATTGCCTTCCTATGCTATCAGTAGGCACTGAATTTAACTGGCTAGCAATGAAAAGATCCCCATCCCATGTCCAATCATTCAAATCCCACTCCGAAGTCCTTTTCCCTACTGCCCGCAAACCCAATGGATTCATAGCATAAAAATGAGGAGCTTCACCTCCAAATCTAGCCTCCATCAATAAAATCAAGATTCTCAAAATCCAAGTAGTTTATTCCCAAATTAGAAACACAAACAAAGAAAACTTTAACACACTCCAGCCAAAAAAACCAAACCAAAACTTCAATCCTACCCCAGTAAGAGATCAGAGCTCAAAAATCCCCCCACCAAAGATTATCCCCTCAGTCATACCTAATCAGCCTCACTTCTTCCCCAAAAATCCAGAAACCGTATACCAGCGCCATCCATGATTCTAATTAACAACAACCCACATACCCAAAACAGCTCCTAAATCGATAGCCAACAAACTAGCTGAGCTCCCCACCCACGAATCCCCCAATCAAAAGCACTGAATTCAAATCAAAAAAGGCCCAGAGCTTAAATCAACTAAAGCTAAAACGGAACAAGCTCGAAGTAATTAGCTAAAAAGTTTTGAAAAACAACAACTTGCCCTGACGACTGGCGGCGATTTTTTCTGTAGGTCCTCGCCGGAAAGTGCGCGAAGGCCGAGGCAGGTGGAGGAGATGGAAAAGGTTCCGACGGTAATGATGATGTTTGACGGTGATGTGAAAGTGTTAGTTATATGTTTTAGTGGGAATGAAGTGTAGGTAATGGTACAGTATGCTACACTACACACAAAAATAAAATAAACTTTTTATTTTTAGTTTAAAAAAAAAATCCGACGGATCTATATTTTCCTGACAATAATTTTTTTTCAAAAAAAAAACAATAATGATACAAGTATAATATTAAATTATATGAGTTTTTATTTTATAATTTGAAGTATTTTAAATTATAAAATAAAAATTATAATAAAATATAAATTTACAATCACACGAGGTTAAGTTTTTAATATCAAAGATCTTCTTTATTAAATGATTAGTGAGCTATACACAATTATTTCATTATATTTTTTTGTTTAATGATAATAGTTTTACTTTTATTTTTTAATTTTAAGAATAAAAAATTGAAATGAAAAATTAATATAATAAATTAACACCAATTGCAAATTTCTTCTTTTCATGTGTAGTTTTTTTTTAATAATTTCAATTGATTAAAAGAGATTTCATTATCCTTTATATATTTATATATTATGATAAAATTTTCCTAAATATTATCTTGAAAATAAAAATTTACTAAACTGAAACCATTATTATTAAATGAACGGCATAGACATTAACATTGTACTTAAAATTTTCTACCACTTTTTTTTAAAAAAGAATTTATTTTATAGCTTAAATTATATCAAATTATATAATTTAAATTTTTTTAATATTAAAAATTATACTTCATTTATGACATAATTTGAATAAAAAAATAACAATTAAAAAAAAAAACGAAAACAGTTCATCCATACATTAAAACGGTGGGTCCAGTGACACGTCGATTGTCCCACGATGATATCAGTACTTCTACTCTATTAGACCACGCTTTTCCTGCTCCCCCGAAGGGTTTAATCAGGTGCTTCGCGCACTTGATGTAAAGAGGATTTGATAATGATTGACTTGTCGATAGTGGGAAGAAGAATGAACACGCCAGATGTGAAGCACTGAATTATTCCTCTTTGATTAGGCAACACGTATCTAGATTTTTGTTTGATAATATTTTTTAGTGTCTTTTTTTAAAAATATATATAATATAAATTAATATATATTAAATATATAAAATATATTTTATATTTTTTTAAATATTAAAAAATAAAAAAAATCTACAATTATAGCTACAATATTATTTTTTTATTAATCTCTCGATATTCGAAGACTACACTAGATATCAATTAATTTAAAATCGAATCGTATCGGACCAAATAAAGAAGAATATTCTCTAACCGTTTAATTTTTTATTTATAAAAGTCAAATTCAAGATTTTATTTTAAATAAACCAAATTTTTTTACTCAAATCAACAAATGATTGCTATAACTACAACATTGTTAATTAAGCATAGAACTATTATAACAACAAGTTAAGCCGGTTTTTAGGATCACTAGATTCTCTTCTCGTTTAATTTTTTATTTATAAAAGTCAAATTCAAGACTTTATTTTAAATAAATCGAATTTTTTTACTCAAATCAACAAATCATTGCTATAACTACAACATTGTTAACTAAGCATAGAACTGTTATAACAACAAGTTAAGCCGGTTTTTAGGATCACTAGATTCTCTAACCGTTTAGTTTTTTATTTATAAAAGTCAAACTCAAGACTTTATTTTAAATAAATCAAATTTTTTTACTCAAATCAATAAATCATTGCTATAACTACAACATTGTTAACTAAGCATAGAACTGTTATAACGACAGGTTAAGCCGGTTTTTAGGATCACTAGAGTCTCATTGTTTGCACTTGTTTTTCTCTTTGATTTTTTCATTATTATGAATGATGAATCAATGATTTTCTCTCATAAATAGTGGCTCTTGCTCACAATCTAAGATTTTGCAATAATTACAATTATCTATTTTTGTTTAGCACATATGTAAGTATATTAATGCATAAAAATTTATTATTACCAACCTAAATACTATTAATGACACTCCTTTTTGTTACAAATAAAAGATGTTAAGCTTGCATCTGGCCCTTCGAGTCAAGTGGTCTCCAACCACATAAAGATGCATTCCCCTGCCCGTCTCCAACCACATGAAGATGCATTCCCCCTCCCTCCTTGGGCAAGGTTCAAACCCGCCCCTTGTAATATTGTTCAAAAAAAATAAAGAAGATGTTAAGCTTGAATTTCATGATATGTTAATGTGGTGAATTAAGAGAAAAGAAAAAATTATTATTTATTATAAAAATAAAAATATATTTACTTGATTAATGATATACAATAATGATTTGATTTTAATATTTACTGATAATAACTCATCACCACAAGATGTTAAAATAAATACACATTAATATACACATTTTTTTTATAGTGAAAAGAGTAAATATAAATTATCACATGTAAGAATTTGTTAGTTTATTTTATTTTATTTTATTTTGAACTTGTTATAATTGTGGGGATAAGAAAAAGATGCAATACAAGAAAAGGGGGTGGGAGTTGAATCCAACGCTTTAATTCCATCCACCGCGAGTAGTGACCTTTTACCATTTATTCTCAATCGACAGAATATGTTTTTTTTTTTTTT